TTCTGTAGCATTATATTAGCAAGCCAAGCCAAATTGTCATTTCAGGAAGAAATTCTACTTTGTGGAGGAAACATTGTTTGCTTTAATAAATGCAACAGGGGGTTTCCCTCTCCTGATGCCTAAAGCTTCAGATCAAGAGACCTTTTCTCAGATATGCCAGGGACCACTGCTTCCCTTTACCACTTAAGCTAAGTATTTGCTGCTTAAGCCAACATGAATGTTGTATATCCATGCCTTGGTTCTCCATATGTATTCTAAGGCTGCAGGCTTATTTTGGTTTATGTAGATACATTTACATTTGCAGCACAGTTTAATTTTCCTCTAAGCATGAAACAAATATTATAATAGATGAATTTATGTCATCATAATCCTAATTAACATCTAAACTGAGCATCTGTTAAACTGCACTCATCACCATGTACTAGTAGTCATGTACTGCTAAATAATGCTGTGGCATAACATTACACATGCAGAGATTGTCTGCTCCAAGCCATGAATTTTTATGAACTTAACATGCAGTTAATAATTTTATCTGCATAGCTGATGAGTATTAGTCTGCTGATACATATGAGGTGGATTGCTAGGTCCCCATGCATATCATTTTCTTAAGGTGGTACAGTATAATCTTTGCAAAGGTTGGAGATGTTTTGTTGAAGAAGGTTTTATGGTAGCTGGCTCTGTATTTATAGCAGCAAAGATGTTAAAACGTTTGCTAAATGTCACTTGATGTATGCTTGACAATGTCCAAGCCTCAACACTAAATATCAATTCAGTGCATATTCTGTATTAATAAAATAAATCTGTTCCACATGAGTTGGCGGAATAAACTCAAACTTGCCTAAACTCAGTGTGTTGGCAGAGAGGGCTCTGCTTAATTCAGCAACCACTGCCAGCCGTCTGTTCTGTCTGCAGTTTTTAAAACTCAACTGAGTTGATGTACTGATCTGATTTACAGTATGTGTCTGAATAACTCAATGAGGGATGGGTCATGTAAATTACATAAAAATAAAACTATACATTTGTTCCTTTATTCATACCCTTACTAATACAGAGACTACCTGTTGCAACAAGAAGGACAGCAATTTATTTTGTTGGGTGACTTATTTAAATGTAACCCCTTCGTTGGGTTGTCACAAACACCTGTTGCACACAAAGGCATTGTTCAAGCCCACAAAATGTTTCTTTTAAATTCTAGTCAAGATCTCACATTTCCACATATACTAATACAGGGAATGTGTATTAAGGGAGGCCAAAGAGATCTAGATTTTTCCATTGGATGTAATTTAGAAGTCAAAAGAACAGCCTCTTGGATTTTTATGTTTGTTTCCAAAAAGACATGGAGGCAATGAAGCACTTAACATGATGCATGTTCATAAGCTATAATATGTCAATCTTGTACATTTTCTGTCAGAAGACCAACCAACCAACAAATGTTGCCACACTAAACAAACAAGTCACATTGAAGCCAGTAACATACACATGGCTAAGGTGTCGGAATCATCCAGTGATCTTAGATCTTCATGAGAGTAGTGTAAGCAGAGAGTAGTTATGTGAATCCTCTCCACATTTTTGATGCTGCTGTTGTCACAGGATACGACAATCGTACTGAGTCAGACACCTGGAGCAGTGCTTTCTTGCTGAGTCTCTCTAGCCGATGATACACTTGCTAAATCAGAGAGATGACCACATAGTCAGTATGATGAAAAAGGTCTTTAACCTTCTTAAATCCTTTATTATCAAACTCATTCTAAATATAATCCTGTATACAATTTTGCCCAGGTATATCACATGTAAAGTCAAGAGACATTATATAATTATTACTAGCACAAAAGTAAGAGTGATGAGTAACCCCTCCCTCATAAACTCAGAGAGCCAAACATATGTGAAACACTGATCAAAAAAGATACATAAACACATTCAAAAACTTTAAATTTCAACTTACAATAAATTATTTCAATCTTTGCAAGGCAGCCTTCTCTGTGAAGAGCTGCACTCAGACTTTGCTCTATTTGCAGACTTTATTGCCCCCATGTGGCCTTATGACATATTACATGCTATGTCCTGCCAAATGCTAATATCAGCAAGTGATCATACTGATGTTTAGCAGATAATGTTTTGCTTTCTTATTTAATGGTGTTAGCATGCCAATATTTCTCATTAACACTACACACAAAGTAGTTAACAGCCGAGGATGAAAGGATTGTCAGTTTTTCAGGTATTTAGTCATAAATAAAAGTATTGGACAAATACAGATTTTGACCCGAGGATTGTGCCCGATAAAAAGTTAAGGGATCACTAAAGTTATTACAGTTCATCATGAGAGGAACATGAATGTGCGTAACAAATTTCATGGCAATCCATGACATTTCAATCAAAACCACAAATGTCATCCTCGTGGTCACCAAAGTCATTAGGATACATTACTTTACAAAGTATTGAGCCAATCCATCGTATAGGTGTTGTGATATTTCACTTGGTAAGTGACCAGCTGTTGCTGCTAGAGTAAAAGTCAGGAATCACCAAAGTCAGTAGGATTCATCCTCTTCCCACCACGGATATGTGTACCAAATAGCTTGGCAACCATCTGATATATATAGCTAAAAAACAAAAATGTCAACCTTGTGGTAGTGTAAGTTTCCGTCTGGACCAAAGGAGTGGACTGACAGACTGCCATTGTCATCCCTTGAGCCAAGCCGCAAGCATTGCAAAGAATGAATAAGTTCCGGTCCTATCCTCCAATTCAGTGTTGACTTTTTAAGGAAAGCCAACTATAGGATAACAACTTCTTACTGGTACCTTAAAGTGAAGTACAGACAACATTAACTGATACAATGGATACATACAATGTAACCATGCAGAATAGCTACATGTTTTTACTTCTTGAATTGTGTTTATGTTGATGGTGAGCCACATAATTCAGTCCTCTAACCTGCTGTTATAAAATAAAACTGCCCATCTTTAGGGTCAGATCTTTTAGGGATTACGTGCTTTTGGCTGCAGCCCAATCAGTGATGTCCCAACAGGCGTCCTCCGTCCACTTAACTTAATTTAACACACACACACACACACGCACACACACACACACACACACACACACACACATTTTAAACTGATTTGAAGTGTTCCCATTTCAATGACTGCATTTACTTCTTTCAGCCAGAGGATGGCACCCACTGTTCACACTAGAGATAAAAAGAAGAAGAAGAAAAACAGCCAGATACTAAAAAACATACAAAGCCACAATGAAGAACCTTACATTCAAACTTGGTCATTGTCATATTGAGTAACAGTTTCAAATCTTCCGGTTGTGATATTTTGATAAAGCATCCAAGAAACTAGATTGCCTCCACAGTATGCTTTATTTATTTATTTTATTCAGTATGTTTTGTGCACTACAAATTCAAGATTTATGGTGTGGATACACAGTGTTGCACTGCTGTGTCAGGACAGTGTCCTGCCTCCGTGCAGCAGAGTCTTATCAGTCCTATAGTAGGTGGGGAAGGTGTAGACCACCCATCTTTAGCAGCCCTCCTCACATTCCACACACGGGATGGCCTTGTCAGTAACCGGAGAGCTGTGGAAACTGCAGGCCATCTTTGATGTCTATATTCAGGGTGGACTCTGATATATACTATTGATTTTTTTTTATCAAGGCATAAGAAGGGTAGAAGTGAGAAATTACATCTTGCCTTGCCTTTGTAGCCATGTTTTTCTTAATAAAATAGTTGGGTTAACAAAATTAGGTACCTGTGGTGGAGATCTATAACTAACAAACTAACCAAACTTCAAAGTCAAGATAATGTAGGACTCCTCATCTCTTCAGTGTAATTATCTTTTATTGGCTTTTGGTATAATAGCCAGTTATATAAAAGGAAAGCATATCAGCCCCTTGTATGTTTACTCAAGGGTTCAACCAGAGTAACTTCCTTGATTCTTTCTTTTTGGCCTCTTCCTTTTTAGGAAATGGGCTGCTGCCTTGCAGTCCCTCTTGGGATTCTGTGGGAATTCCTTAGCTGGTTTGCTTGGCAGTTGGTTTTCAATCCTCCAGTACTGTTATTTCACTGTGTGAGGTTGGGATGCAGAAGGAATTGAAAAAATGTGCGGTGTTGCCTTGGGCCACTCTTGATAAACCTCTGTGCTGAGTTTGTAAACAATTGTGTGTGGTTGGTGTTATCTATAATAAGTGACACAGGAATTCAGTCTCTTATTTTGGAGCACTGCAAGTGACACCACTGGGCATCCACAGTGCAGTGATGGCTCACTAATGCTTGCACATCCTCCTCATTTTGTTTTTAAATCCATTGCACCCTAATTGAGATACATGTAGCCTACATGTGAAAAATACTTTTTTGTGTGATAAGTAGGCTAGATGACAAAAGTGGCCATAAAAGGACATTTCGTTATCCTCATTTAAGGATATATTTGGAAGAACCAGTTAAAATTTCTTTGAAATAGTCTGTTTTGTCCTGCTTGTTCTCAGAGATGTCTGATGTCAGTGATCTCCCTTCAGTTACTGCTCCAGTTTCTGTGCTGGTAGTGCCAAACCTATGTGCCTGTCTGACTAGTTAATTTATAGCTGCCGGAATCTACTCCTCACAAACAGTGGACGCATATTTCCCTTTTTAGGGCATGAGAATCTATTACGTAATTTAGGGAGAACTCGGATCAAACTGAGGAAGCGGGGAGGTGCTGACACAGAGCGGCACCCGGATCGACCAATCAGGCGCCGGGGAGCTTGCCTTCTCGCTCGCTGATTGGTCAGAGGGCGGAAAACGTGGGTGACGTTTAGGTTGCTCGCGCTCACTCGCTGGCTGGGAGTTTTTCACGTTGAAGCTTTCACGGGAGTAGTTGTAGTCTTCAAACTGGAGGGTGAAACTGTCCTGGAAAAGAAGCTGTCGGGATTGTTTTAGCCTTTTGTAGCTGGAGTTTGGGAGAGCACTACTTTTGGTGGTAGGGTATTTGATTGTTTTTCTCTTCGATAGTGATATAAAGTTGTCACCATGCCGGTTTTCCACACGAAGACGATAGAAAGTATCCTGGAGCCGGTGGCTCAGCAGATATCCCATCTGGTGATAATGCACGAAGAAGGTGAAGTTGACGGGAAAGCTATTCCAGATCTTACGGCGCCAGTGGCTGCCGTGCAGGCGGCTGTTAGCAACCTTGTTCGGGTGAGTAACTTGTCTTTGTGAAATTGTACCTGTGAGTGTGTTTTCCTAAACTCGGCGGGTGTAGGCTAACGTTACCTGTCGGTCTTTGTCCCACACCCTCCGCTCTCGAAATAACTTACGTGAGCGTCTGAACACCACACTTAACCAGTATACAATTGTAGCTAGCTCCATATGATGTGTTTAATAGCAGAGAAGCTGAATGCATGCTATCTAAGTTTCTCAAAGTTGTTTTACTCGGGGCAAAGCCCAGTGACGCCCTTTTCCCCTTGAAAACTTGCCCTGCCTCCCTCCTCTGTAGCTGCCATATCGTGGCGTAGGCACTGCTGCTGGTATGAGCCAGGTATTTGGGCAGGCTACAGTGCATTCCCTTTTCATTTATCCCAACATAATAACCCAGCTGCACGGGTTGTCATTGGACATGGCTGTGAATTAGAATATGAATACACCTCAAACACAATGTTTGATTTTAGGAACCTCTGTTCGCTAAACTGTGAATGGGGGAAGCTCAGTTCACAAACAAGACTTTCAAACACATCCGTTTATACTACACTACTCAATGGGACAGTTGGGGAAATGATTGATCACTGATGTAAAATTATAAATATTGGATGTCAGCTGTCTAAAAAATCCGGTATCTGTGGCTGTCGCAGGACTGTAAAAAGCACTGCTGGCCTTACCTGCCTGCCTACCTGTGCGCACTTTGTGCAGGAGAATGGGTTATGGGGGAGTGGCTTTGGGGGGAGGGGGTGGAATTTTTGTCGGTTGGATGCCTTCAAAGTGAAGCTTTCTCTTGCAAGTTCTCAAGCATTACCTAACTTAATTTGTTAAAGAGGACTAGAAAGGAATATCAAATCTTCACCAGGGCTGCATATTTATGTGTTAAACTGGTAATTTGCATGTGGATCCAGTGTTATGCTGCCTTGTATGACCCAGCAGATTATGACTTGATTACGAAACTCAGCTATTTTCCTTTTCTAAAAACCTTTTTGCTGTGGTCACACATTGATAGCTAATACCTAAATCCGCCTGTAAAGCCAGAAATCCTCACCTGTCCTTTTTTCCATCGTTGGACTCACTAGCATCAAAGAATCCGATTGGTTAAATATTCTGGGGAAGCATCAAAATGAACATAAATTAATCACTTTTAATGGCCTGTATCCTTGAACTGAAAGAGTTTGCCAAGTTTGTTGACACATTTTGAGATAACCTGCCAACTAACAAACAAGCAAACTGAACCAAAAATATAACCTCCTTGGTAGAGCTATAGTAGATATAATTATGACTCACTCTTGATGCACTATGCCAAGTGCTCATACATTATCATATCTCGTTGGTGCCCTTGATGTTTTTCTACCCAAAGAGAGCAATTAAAATGTCTTTGGCGGTATTAATTATGTATTTTGAAAACATTAAATTACGTGCACCAGATGCAGCTGTGGTTTATTTATATTTAGAATCAAAAAATACCGAACCACAATGGTGTTCCTCAGTGCCACATTGTAACTCTCATAGCTACAAGTAGGGAAATGACAATGTTGTTTCTCCATATATTAGCCTGAAACACAAACCACTACACGGAAGGTTTCTTAGAAAGGAAACAAAGAGATATGAGGGGGCTGTCAAGATACTATCGCTTGTAAACAGGAAGGGATAGAGACTAAATTAAGGCAGACTTAGTTTCTGTGTGGTGTTCTCTCTGTCAGCCTGGTTAAGCACAGAGCCTCTGGCAGTTGTTAGTCGATAAATTTGGGCAATTGCTCTGGCGTCTCCCGTCAGCAAAGGAATCCTTCATTTAGAAGGATTGTCTACCATTAGCCCCCAGTTTATTTTACGGTCCATGACCATTTCAAGCTAGTTCACTTCATTCCATGCCTTTGTTTTTCCTCAGCGCCCATTCTCAAACTATAGGTCTGTACCCCATTGTGTTCATTAGTTATATGTCTGCACACACAAGGTTTCCTTCCTCTGAGGGGCATTATAAAGAGGTGTTTAAATGTGTTGTTATGCAGAAAAGGCCCCCTCTGGCAAATCATACTGCAATAATGCCTTGGATTGGAACAGTTTATACTGTTTATAAACAAGTTTGATTACATGTAGCAAAACATTTGACCTGGACCTATGGTAATAATTTCTTACCCAATTATAATTTTGGTTTTGTAATCAGATGTTACTACAGTGGAACAGTGAAGGCATCTGCATATAAAGTTTAACAGGGTTATATGCATGTAATAATCTGTCCTTCAAAGGAATTATGATGAAGGGTGTTTGTGACGCTTAAGAAAATTAGACACCCCACTTCTTATTATAGATACATTCTGCATAAATGTATAAAGTGTGCTCAGGAAAACATAGTTAACGTTCCAATAGTGGTAAAAGTTCCAGACAGATATTTTTAATATTAACAATGAATTTAATGGTGTTGCTAGCAATGATGAACACATAGATGTTTTTAGTCTGTTTTTAGCTTTTTAACCCAAACAAAACAGAACATATAGCAGCTAAAGAGCCAGATATATAAGACCAACCTGGATTCTAAAAGGAAAGTGGATCTTACATTGATGACAAATCGAGAGCATCATTGCGATAATTTAACATGAATGCAACGGCTGCATTTGCTGACACATGAAATGTCCTGCGGCAACCCTTAACTAGCTTGGGGTGAAATGATCCAGCCTCTCTGCACATTCTGAATTGTGATCAGATGTTTCCAACAGTGGCATGAATGAATGGATAGGCCTGTAATTATTTCCAGTTGCTGTAGCAACATTACAACATGGACAGTGTTATGAATTCATTCAAGTTACAGATCTGATGTTGTTTCTTAGGGTTTCAGTCTCACCAGACGCGTGAGTCATACACATATGGTCATACATAGCAAAGCTCAGAAGAGATAATAAATGCACTCTGTGGCTCTTGTCTTTGACTTCCTTCGAACTGATGACAAATGAAGACAGTACTCTCCACAGCCTGTTCACGCTGCTGCCGTTTGACAAGAGATACAGAAGTTTCCGCTGTTGTACCACCAGACTCCTCACTTCATCCTCAGCATTCCACCATGTAAAACAGTTGTATTGTATATGTAGTTGGAACTACAACTTGATCTTGTTATACAACCCTGTGTTGTAAAATTATAAATCTGCCATGTACCTTGTACCTGGAATATTCTCAGGAAACTCTAGTTATTTACTTACTTAACTGTGTAGGTGTTGTGCCCGTGCAAGTTTTATTGTTTACTTAATCTTTTAGCATTTTCAGTTCTTGCACCTGTCATAAGTTACTCCATTTAACAAACTAGTCTGTTAAATGAAGTCTTCAGCATCTAACTGGAGAGTAAATTACTGTCAAGGAAAGGATCGTCCTTGGAAGAGAAAGGGATGAGGCTGTCTAATTACATCTCTCTAGATATCCTCAGGACGGGGCTGTACCAGAGAAAAGCTATTTACCTCACTGTCTGTGTTGCACAGAAAAAACACATGTTGCGCAGACATCCTCCTTCCTGAATTCTGTTCAAAATATCTTAAGCCAGAAGCTTACAGCTAATGAAGCTGGACTTTGGATGACTTGAAAATCTGAGTGATTGGGTTACAAATGATTGTACCTTTCAAAATGACACATTCTGATAGTTGCATCACGTTTCTTTCCATTACCAGACAAAGAAAAGGAAGATGAGCTTTTAGGTTGCTCTTAGATGCTTAAGCCTGTCTGAGGAGATCTGGTGCAACCACTGTGATAAATGTGTATGCCTTTTTAAATTATTAATTTGAAAGGGCTTAATCTTATTATTCCAGATGCATAGAGATAAAAGTGCAGCCCTCGTAAACTGACACAGGATTTTAAGGGTAGAATGACCACAAACCATTGTGAGTCAAATATGTCTGGTCTAACCGAGACCCCTCCCTGGTGCTCAGAATCTTTCACTTCAGTGTTTTCAGATTGAGACAATGAGCCAGACCTCAATTAAAGATGAATGTCAGGAATGTGAAGGATTCCCAGCAAGCAGGAATGCATCTCTACTCAGAGGGGGGTTTAGCTGATTCTTTGAATAAACTCTTTTACTGAAATATTGAGTAAGATTATCAAATAACAAGGCTCCCCTGAGAAAAGCCTGTGTTCACATGATCATGGATGTCAGTTTTATCTTTGTCTGTGATATCTTTGTTTGACCCATAATGCACCTTTAAGTTGGTGGTCCTTTTTACCAATAGGACTTGGCTAAACATAGTCAACGAACTAGTGGATAAATGGTGTATTTGGAGTAGTGTAAGAGATGGCATGTTCAGTTCATGTGTAATTACCAAGCCTTGTGCTTATTGTACAAATGGCTTGTGCAACAGTAACATATAGCAAGAGAAATACATAACTTGGTAGCAGGGCTCACAACCTGATCTGGTGCTTTGGGGAAGATCATTCTAGTTTTGTCTCATATCGGTCAGGTTTAAGTTTCAAGTTGACATGGTGCTGAGAAGTGATTAAATCATAATGAAACCATTACATCTAAAACCTTTTTGGAGTAAAATTATATTTGCTGTCCACATCACAGCTAAATAGACATACAGATGTTTGGATATGAAGAACATATGAAGGATTTACTTTCCTACTGGGTTAAATGCAAGAACAGCAACAGTCCTGTTGTACTTCATTATTTTTATAGCACCGTTTTATAGGTGTAGGATAAAGAAAAAAATGGCAATGATGAAGGGCCCTGGAACGGATGAGTCGTAATTGTTAGTCTTCCTGTTTGCACAGATCACAGGGCCTCACATGACTTGTGGAGATACTCTTATGTGCAGATCACTAAGTGGCTGTGCAGTCAGTCTTTGGGTAAACCATCTCGCTTTGGTTACAAAATACCAGTGTGCCTTATGCAACAATGCCAGTATGGAAGTAGGTCTCAGGGGTTGTATGACTTAATACACAATTACATATAGCATCACACTTGGAAATGTTGTTTGTCTTCAATTTCTTCAATGTTGACAGAAATATAGGTGATAAATAATAAA